GATAGGCTTGATATGCTACCAACCCCCCAGCCCAGCTCCTTGCTGTTACACACCCTACCCAAACCCCCCAGCCCTTGTTGTTAGACTCCACCACCACCCCCGCCAGTCCTCCTACTACATGCCCTACTGAAATCCACCCCATCCTTCATGTTATAATTGACCCTACCAAACCTCCCCACAGCTCCCTTGTTATTATAGGGCCTACCATAACTCCCACCCTCTTCTTTATTGCAGGCCTTAGAAATGCCCCCTCCACTCACCTCCGTGCGGTCTTGCCTTCTCCTCTTCCGAGCTCTGAGCCAACAGGGCCCCGGCGCCTGCCCTACGCCTGCCCGGGGTCGGCGTCTCCTCCACGGCCACACAGGGCAGGGGGGAGGCTGCGGCTTGCCCCGGGGGCAGCAGGAAGTACTGGCAGCCCACGTCGCCAAACAGCAGGGTGTCGCCATGGGCCAGGGCATAGCGGACGTGGGGCTGGAGCACGGCACGGCCGCGCCGCGTGCGATTGAGGCTGCCGCGGTCCCAGAGCAGGTGCGGGGGCCCGGGCCGAGGCCCTGGTGTTTCGATCACCGCGTGGACCTTCGACACGGAGGGCACCGGCAGGTGCACGGGGCAGCTGGGGAGGCGGCCCACCGCGTTCTCGCCGGGGTAGATCCAGACGTCTGCGAGGAAGGGGGAGAGCCCAGGTGTCTGGAGGGACCCAGTCATGCAGGCTCTCACCCCCACTGGTGCGCACACACACACGTGCATGCACACACAACCCAGTGTCCGGGATGCTCACTCACACGCTCGGGCACAGACACACACCCCCGCTCCCACAACACCCGCGGACACCCGGGGCCCTTGGACATGGAGCTCACCCCAACACCTGCGGCCCACGAGACATCAGGGACCGCCCAGACCACGGGACCCCGCCGGGGGGGGGTGGGGGGGGGCCCTACCTCTCTCCGGGCCGTGGCGGCCCCCCAGCACCCGCAGCCTCCCCACGGGGCGCCCGGGGTCCGCGGGGGTCTCGTCCTCCTGCTCCTCCTCCCACTGCAGCAGCTGCGTCTGCTCCATGGCCCGGGCGGGGGCAGCTCAAGCCAGCCCCAGCCCCGCCCCCGCCCGTGACTTCTAACTCACGTCCTATTTTGGGGCCGTGGCCCTTTAAATTCCCCGCGCTTGGGCGCTGAAGCCACAGAGCCTGGATGTGGGCGCCTAGAAAGGCGCCACGGGACCACAGAGATGGGTGGCGCCGGCCTAGAGCGGCTAGCTCTCTGCAGTCCTCCTCAACATGGCGCGGCTGAGCCATAAAGAGGAAACCGGACGTCAGGCTAGAGTGCCCACATTAGCTCCTCCACAACATGGCGCCCCTGCCCTTCTACCTCGCGAATGACCACAGATACCTCACATAGACTACCCAGGGATATTAAGGGGAGAGAGCAGGGCTAAAGCGCCCGCTTTGAGCCCGGCACAAAATGACCACCGCCCGACCATAGAGAGCGAAGGCTAGAGTGCAGACACTTGATCCTCCAAAGCGTATCTTCTACCTCATTATCCCCCCATTCATTAATGAGAATGACCTCACCTTGCAGCCAATTTTAGCCACTGAGGAAGCCTAGCCCAGGGCGGACCCCAAAGGTCCTGGTACCATGAAGGGGCATCTGGTGTTGCCAGGCAACGGACTGGTTACTAGGGCTGCCCTGGATACCATGAAGGGGGATCTCAGTGTTACTCAACAGTGGGCCAACTGCTCTGTTACTAGGCAACAGCCTGCTGACTAGAGCTGCCTAGGATACCCTGTGTTGTGTCCCAGTGTTGCTAGGAGACACGAGGATCATTCCAGTGTTGCTAGGCAGCTTACTGGCCAGGGGCTGCCCCCAACCATCAAGGCCTGGGGCCACGGCTGCTTCCAGCTCACCTGCCAGCCCCCCA